ACACACACACACACACACACACACACACACACACACACACACACACAAACCGAAAAACTAAATGGGGGACTGGAAGGTGACTCAGGCAGATCTGCTGCCAAGCGTGGCTACCTGATCTCCTCTGTGTGGGTTTTCTCGTGAGAGTTTCACATATATAATGTACTTTAAGTACAGTCTTCCACTAGCTTTTCTTTTCTTATGGGTTTTTTTGATACAAGGTTTCTTTGTGTAGCATTGGCTGTCTTGGACTAGCTTTATAGACCAGGCTGGCCTCGAACTCAAAGAGATCCACCTCTGCCTCTCTGCCTCAGCCTTCCCAGTACTGGGATTACAGGTGTGTACCACTGTGCCTGGATCACCAGCAGCTTTTCTTACCTTCATTCTTCCTCCTTGTTTTTACCTTATCCATCAGTAATAGTCCCACATTTTCCCTTAAGTCCCCCCTTTTTAAATTTCATATGTTAAAATATATAAGTCTGATTTTGTAGAATTATTCTGCTGAACATATGTGCTCCAATTCCAGTCATTTTCCTTCAAATAATATAATTTCATTTTTGCTTTTAGCTGCATAAAATGCCTTTTATGACATTTTCCTGTTCCATACATCCCCTGATAGACATTTTAAGCTGATTCCATAGCTTGGCTACTGTGACTAGTGCTGCAGTAAACAGTAGTATGAAGGCATCCCTATAACAGGCTTGCTTTGGGTCTTTTGGGTATGCATCCACAAGTGGTATGGCTGGATCATATGGGAATTCTATTTTTAATCTGTTTAAACTTCATACTGATTTCCATGGTGGTTGAACTGAGTTCTGTTTCTACCAGCAGTATTATACGGCTTTCTTTTTTACTTGCATCCTCACCATAATTTGTTGATTTTTCTTCTCTCCATAATAGCCACTCTAATAGGATGAGATGGAATGCTGGTATTACAGTGGTTAAGAGTACAAACTCTGGAGCTGCTGGGCGGCTCAGTGTGTAAAGTGCTTCTTAGACAAGCATAAAGACCCAAGTCTGTGTTTGGATGTGGTGCCACATGTATGAAAACCTAGGTCTGGGAAGCAGAGACAGGCAGGAACTTGCTGTCCATCCAGTCTAGCCAAGTGGTAAGGGTTCAGCGATAGACCCTCTCTCAAGAGAAAAGAAAAGAAAAGAAAAACAAAAACTAGGTGGAGCTATTGAGGAAGACAGACGATGTTCCAACATGAGCTGTCCTGGGCAAGCACACATACACACAGGAGCACGGCTGTGGGTTCACGTTGCGTGGTGTTTGTGTCTTCCGCAGCCTTTAGACACGAGGTGTTCTTTACGACAGTGAGGGCTATGCATAGCATTCTATTTCTTCTTCTCACTGATAGTTCTTCTGTGTGTGTATGTGTGTCCTTCTCCCTCTACTTCCTTTTTCTCCTTTTTTGCACTAATTCTATATGATTATTTTTGCCATTATTCATATGGTTTTCCCATCAGAATATTCTGTTTTCCTTCTAGCCTGTCTGCACCCTCACTGTAGTCTAAAAACTACTGTTTCTTCCTTTGTAATATTTCATTTGCTCACTGAACATCCTTCTGAAACACTTAGGATATGCTGTGGACTACGCTTAAGCATATTACCCAAGAGGCCTACATCTTATATGTACTCCTGCAGCAAGGGCCAGTCATATTGTAGCATACCCTATTTCTGGTGTTCTGTTGTCTAAATAAAACTTTAATTGGAAACCAGTTATTGTTTTATTATTTAATAAAGGTATCTGCAATACTGTAAAATTATACCAGCCCCCATATCTTACTTCACTTAGCTCTTGACCCTCCTGGGGATAAACAGATACAAATATTTACATCTTTGGCAGGAGCTCACTTACCAAGGAAAAATAATTTAGTGCTCATGTGCTAGTTTGATCACTTTAGACTAGAGCTTCAATTTCTTGTTTGGTCATGTTAAGGAAAAATACTCCATATGAGAATCAATAACCTGTATGATATGAAATAGGTATTTTTTTTCTGTCCATAAATTCAGGAAATTGGTCAAAATACATACTTCCAAATAATGAGTAGGGCCTAGAGAGATACTCAGTGATTAGGAGCACTTGCTGCTCTCCCAGAGGACCTGAGTTGAGTTTTCAGAGGTTCAACCTACCTAATGTTAGCTAATGCCTCCTCAAAACAAACATTTCAGACAGTCTTCTTTGTCTCTATTTTCATGATCTCTACCTACATGGTGACATGTGCCTTTAATTCCAGCACTTGAATTGATCTCTGAGTTCAAGGATAGCCAAGCAGAAAGACCTCATCTTTAAACTTAAATAATAGTAATAGTAATAAAAGAGCTTATGTATTTAAGGCATTTTGTGGTTTTGTGGCTTTTGTTTGATAAGTCAGCACTAAGGATCTGGGGTTGGAAAGGTGATGCTTGGATTAATATCCTCTTCCCTTGCAGCTTCACAGCCTAAGGAGCGCCCTAGGTCTGCAGTGCTTTTGGCTGACGAGGCCACTGCTGCACCAATATTTACTAACAGACGGTCCCAGCAGAATGTCTCCCTCTCTAAAAGTGTCTCCATACAAAACATCACTGGGTAAGTAACGATTCCACAGTTGACATCTGGGTACCATATAATAATCACTACATTTGACACACACACTTAAAGAGTGGATGTGTAAAATAATGGCTTGGCACACATTGGATGATAAGGAGGTTGGAAGTTGTGTTATTGTACTGTGTTGATACTCATGCTTATAATGCAGACTGTTTATCGGGTGTTCCATTTTCAGGCTGGATTGCTTTAGGCATTTGTGCATGATCAGCCCAGCTTTTGAAGAACCTGAGTCATGGAAAAGATTATTTAATTACGAATATTCCATTGTAACCACCTCCGTCTTCAGATGTCACACCTTTGTACCATTCAGATGAACCTGGTTGTGCTTATTTTTTTTTAATCTCCTTTCTGTTGTTACCTCTGAAGGCAGTTTATTATGGTGGTGAAGCCTGGGCCATCAGTCCAATTAGGTTCCTTCTTGCTTGTTTGCATTGAGTTCCATTTGTAGCCTCTTAAACGTTGCTAAGGCCATGGGTTGTCCAGCATTGATTGTCATGTTAGCAAAGGGCTAATTATGATGCGACTGTTTGGGATAAAATGTCCTCCTGAGTCGTCCCTACTCCCCCATTCATCAAATATCAGTCCTCCAAAATGTAGGACTTAACACCACTTACATGTCTCCTGACCTAGATTGGATCAAAAATTTTTACTAATGATGCAAAGCTTGCTTTTGTTTGTGCTTTGTCACCTCTGTGTTAGCTAATGTCTCCTCAAAACAAACATTTCAGATAGTCTTCTTTGTCTCTATTTTCATGATCTCTAAAAGTCTTCTTTTCATAGTTGTAATGTCATCAAAATCATTGGCATTGTAACTTTGAAACAGAGTTTTAAAGAAAATTTGAAGTTCAGATGAGTTTCACTAGCTGTTGTGTCATAGAACAAACATTTACTTGGTACCTACTGTGCTAGCTTGTGAGTTAAGGTTAAAAGGCCCAAAGGATGTCATTTATCAGAGTGATCAGTAACACTCTAATTTTTAAGAAAGTAATGTTGGGGCTGGAGAGGTGGCTCAGTGGTTAAGAGCACTCACTGCTCTCCCGAAGGTCCTGAGTTCAATTTCCAGCACCACATGGCAGCTCATAACTGTCTGATGCTGTTTTCTGGTGTGCAGATGTATGTGTAGACAAAGTACCCGTCTACATAAAATAAATAAGTATACTTAATAAAAAAAATAAAATAAAATAAAATAAGCCTAAAAAAAGAAAGTGATGTGTTTTTTTTTTTAAAAAGTGATTTGCAATATTTTTGAAATAAATGTATTTTACGTGTACATGTGTTTTGCCCACAAGTGTGTCTGTGCCCCTTGTGCATGCCTGTTGCTTGTGGAGGCTGGAAGAGGGTATTGGATCACCCTGGTTGTGAGCTGCCGTATTCATGCTGCGACTCAAACTCAGATCCTTTGAAAGAGCATCCAGTGCTCTTAGCTCTTAGCTGCCCAGCTCCTAAATTTAAAATTTTTTCTATATAATGTGTACATGATTTAAGGAAAGACATTTACTTTGCTGAGTACCTTTCTTTTAAGCCTCAAAAGTTGAGCTAAAATTGAATTTGCAATGATAATGCTTACTAAACTTTTTAATAATGCTTCATTTTGCTATATACCTGAGTAATTTGTCCTGAGATATCATAAAACGTCCAGCAAACTGTCATCTTAGTAGAGTTTTTTAGGAATTCACTTAAAAATGTGTGAATTAGACAGTGTGTTAGAATGAATTTGACAGTATATCCTTCTTTTTGTCTTTAGAGTTGGCAGTGATGAGAATATGTCAAACACCTGGAAATTCCTATCTCATTCAACAGACTCACTGAATAAAATCTGCAAGGTCAATGAGTCAACAGAATCACTTACTGATGAGGGTAAGGGGCAACTTTGGCTTATGTTACTAAATCTTTGTAAAGATCCAGTGCACCTCCTAGCATACTGTTACCAAGTAGCAATACCTGCTTTTCTCCCTCCCCTCCCTGGAAGGAGTCTCTAAATTGCATGTAAAGAGTCATGCACAACACATACACTGGCAGTCACTCCTGCCCTGTTGGCTTTTCGTTGAAGGAAACGTTGATGTTAATGTAGGCATTCTGTAGTGCTGATGCTTTTCTTCCTCCAGACTCTGTATCCATTCAGTTCTGTGTCTATACAATTGTAAACCTCAGGTAAACATGTACAGCACATAAAGATATCAGAACTTCAAGCTCCAACTTCACAATGGAATTGTTTCACTCTTGTTCAGTTTATGTGACGTTTATCATTCGTAAACTTGACATTGATCCTGCCTAATATTGGTTATATTCTCCTTGAGTATCCTCTACACCAGTACAGAGGATTTGTCTTTTGAACTCATTTCCTCATAGAGGAAAATCCAGAATTTTAGGGGTCAGAAACCTAAGATCCTGAGGTTGCTTTTTTTGTATTTTGAGGAGTAGGTACAGAGATGAATGAAGGACAGCTGATGGGAGACTTTGAAAGTGAGTCTAAACAGCTAGAAGCAGAGTCATGGAGCCGGACGGTTGACAGCAAGTTCCTTAAACAGCAGAAGAAAGATGTGGTCAAACGGCAGGAAGTGATTTACGGTGAGATGCTTCATTGCTTTACTTGTATTTGATGTGTACTATCCAGCTTGCATACCAGTGGGGGGTTATTGAGAGGCAGAGAAACCATTCTCTGTTGCAGAGACTGGAAAAGGAGTTACCCTGTCCAACCTGTTTAAGTGGGCGATTGTTGGGTTGTGGAGAATTAATTTTTGAATATGCAGCATCATAAAGGTTTCCTATAAAACTACTGGAGTATGGAGACATATGGCTTACGTCCTTTAGTTCATTTTGCCCTAGATGCCTCATTCTACTGTCTCTCATATCAGTCGACAGTTCAAAGCATGCAAAAAATATAAAGTCTGTGAAAGAGATGCCTTCTAAAAAACGCCTCTTAGTTCTTGAGCTATACTAGAAAGCTGAAACAGCAATCATTTCTAGGAAACAGAGCCCAGTAAATGAAAGGAACTGAATCCAATGAAGATTTCTTTGGAAACCATTTAAAACTGTCTGAATTCAATATAGCTGTCATCAGAAAATGATGTTAGGTTAGTGCAAAGGCAGAGTAAGATGAGACTGCTTAGGGGAAGACAGTTGTTTACTCAGTTTTAAAGTTTCAGTTGGACCCTAACCTAACCTTACAAGCTTAGCTGGTGATCTTTGAAAGACCCTTGATCTGTCTTCTTGTAGAGCTGATGCAGACCGAGTTACATCACATCCGCACGCTCAAGATTATGAGTGACGTGTACAGCCGGGGGATGATGACAGATCTGCTCTTTGAGCAGCAGATGGTGGAAAAGCTGTTCCCCTGTTTGGCTGAACTGATCAGTATCCACAGCCAGTTCTTTCAGAGAATCCTGGAGCGGAAGAAGGAGTCTCTGGTGGATAAAAGTGAAAAGAACTTTCTTGTCAAGAGGATAGGGGATGTGCTTGTCAATCAGGTGAGCAGCGGGAAAGCTTTTCTCATGCAGTGGGGTAGCTGGGAAGCTTTGTAATTCTGCATCCCTACTTGTATATTCAGTTCCACCATTTTTCTCTTTAGACTTAACAAATTGACTTAATCTAAATGTCGATTTCATTTTCTGTAAAGTAAGGAAAGTAGAGGTAAAGTAGCTTATGCTATTTTTAGAAGGTTAAGTGTATATATAATGAAATATATAGTAAAAAAAAATTTTAAGTCCATACAATCATCAGAAACAATCCTGTTTAAGAAATAAAAAGATATATGGCTTTCCTTGTGGCTCATCAGAAAAGGATCTTACCTATCTCAAGACCAGTTGAAGCTTAAGCAATTAATTGATCAATATGAAGTCTGAAACACTTCATAATATTTGTTACATTTGCAATATATGATTTGATTTCAGTCCCACTCCAAAGAAACTCAGCACACAAGTATTTTTATCTTTTTCAATGTATGTCATAGGTAGCTTTTGATATTTATTTTTGAAATGTTTTTGAAAAAGGAAATGTTGCTAGTAAAACCTCAGCAGATAAGAGTATCACACATATGTGACTAGATCTTTCTCCCTCACCAAATCCCTGTTTCTGTGTAGATGCCAGAGGTCTAACCCCTAGAACAGCTAAGTGAGAATTGGATTGGGGCTGAGGGCAGTACTAGGGTTTGATCCAAGGGCTTCTCAGGCATGGTAGGTCAGCATGCTACCATTGAGCCACATCCCCACCCTGTATTCACTTGTATATTGAGGCTTTCTCAGCCTCAAGGAACTGGGACTACAGGCTTGGCCAAGAACTAGAAATCTTGTCCTCCTCCAGTATCCTTGAGTCCATATCCTACCCTTGATCATTTTATTAGTGTATTCAGTCATTCTAAAAGGATTTTCTGTCTATTAAATGCCAGGGGTAGAACTGCACAGTTGAATATTATGTAGGTCTCTGCCCTAAGGAAGTGTGTAAAAACAGGTGTGATGCAGATAAATGTGTGTTCAATGTGAGATGCTTGTGTTTGGCAAATGTGGAGTGAATAGTCCTATTCAATAATGAGCCTAATGTGGAGCCCGACAAATAAAGAACCATCTTCCCCAAGACTCTCTCTTCCAAACACTGTCCGCTTCTCTCTTTCTGCCTTCAGAACTGCATAGGTATCACATCTTGGCTTCTTGTTTGTAGTTCCTTATGTTTGTACACAACTATAGTAAGCCCTTTCATGCTGGGACTGAAACGTTAGTTCTGTGGTATTCATTTGTTGTTCTGTACATGATCGGACTCCACCTTTTAGGTTAATTGGTTTGTGGTAGTAGTACTGCCTCTCCGCTGTGAGTAAAGAAACCTACACTAGAAATTCTGAGAGCACACCGTTTAACCATTTGATAAAGTGCCAAACTGTTCGCCAAAGCTGCTGTACCGTTTAATCGTGGGGGTGGGATATTATTAGGACGCATTCTTGCATTTTACAACCAGATTGGCAGCTTTCTACAAAATGATGCCCTGAATTGTGGTTTAATTTCTGTTCTCTTTCCTGGGCAGTTTTCAGGTGAGAATGCAGAGCGCTTGAAGAAGACATATGGCAAGTTCTGTGGGCAGCACAACCAGTCTGTCAACTACTTCAAAGACCTCTACACAAAGGATAAGCGTTTCCAAGCCTTTGTGAAGGTACTGAACTAAAACACAAGCGTCCCCATTATGGTCAAAACTACACTCTGTCTTGGCTAGAGCCACCTCCTCACTTAGTGACTAACAATTTATTCACTCCCTTGCAGAAGAAGATGAGCAGCTCAGTAGTAAGAAGGCTCGGAATTCCAGAGTGCATATTACTTGTAACTCAGAGGATCACTAAGTACCCAGTTTTATTCCAAAGGATACTGCAATGTACCAAAGGTGAGTCTCCTTGGAAATTTGGATCTAGATAGCCCTGGAAACCACTATAGCAGAGCTCTGTCATAATCAGCAGGCCTACCAGAGTTTCTGCATTTATCTCAGTGGTTTTATTTACTTACTCATCATTCATTCATTTATGGGCACAGGTTCTCACTTTGGCCCAGACTAGCCTCAAATTCACAGCAATTCTTCCTTCACACCTCCAAAAAGTGCTTAGATTACAGGTGTGAGATAGCATCTGTAGTTTACTTGAAAACACCTTTTCATGGCTGTTTATTTTATTGCCATTTTTAGTTTTTTAAGACCGTGTTTCACTGTGTAGTGCAGTCTAGTCTCAAACCCATGATTTTCCCACTCAGCCTCTCAAGTGCTGAGATTATAGGGAAACAAAAACTCCAACTTTAAGGCTGCTAGGACTTAGAGCAGATTCAAGTCTGACTTGGGCAGCCAGTGAGGCCCTGTGTTGAGGCAAAAACTGAGAAACACCTGGAAACAAATTACTGCTAGAGTGTTCCTGGTTATGTACAAGCCCTGGACTTGCTTTCTGGAATACCAACTTGGAATGTGAAATTACTACAGTTGGGGTAGATAGATGATATCAAGCAGGGACCATCTGTTGGTTCTGTTAAAAGGTTAAGTGCCCTGAGCACTAGTTCTGGTAGTGCTAGTTGGACGTGGTCAGCAGTTCCCATCATTTCTTCCTGTAAGTGCTAAAATTGTTACTCTGCCTCATTTAATAAACATGTAGTGGTTTCTATCAGCTAATGCTTTTAATGTAAGCAGTTACATTAAAAGTTATGAGGCAATAACATTAAAGAGTAGTTAAAGATAACTGAGGAGCTGGTTACTCACCTTTGCTGCTCTCTGTCTAAAACATCAGTGTCTTTTATTTTGGAGCATATAATTGCATATCATCCACAGTGCTGAGAACTTCTAATGTCCTTTGGAATTAAACTTAGAGCAGCAGGAAAAGTAGCATGTGACTTGGTGCATTGGCCCCAATGTGAAAGTGTAACAGTAAGGGGACTGTGGTGGTGTAGACTCCCCCCTTCTGCGCTTGTGTGCAAGGAGCCATTAAAAGTAGAATTGGTCTTTTCTCCCAAGACAATGAAGTAGAACAGGAAGACCTAACTCAGTCCTTGAGCCTGGTAAAGGATGTGATTGGAGCTGTGGACAGCAAAGTGGCAAGTTATGAGAAGAAAGTACGTCTCGGTGAGATTTACACGAAGACTGATAGCAAGTCGATCATGCGGATGAAAAGTGGGCAGATGTTTGCCAAGGAGGATTTGAAACGGAAGAAGCTGGTGCGGGATGGGAGTGTGTTTCTGAAGAGCACAACTGGAAGGTTGAAAGGTAAGATTGCTTCCATGTCTGTGTGCCTGGGGAGAACAGGAAAAATCCAGATTCTTCTGTACTTCACCAACAGGTTTCTTCTTAGATAGCCATATCCAGACATTACCTGGGCAACAGCCATTTAATAATATGTCGGAAAGACTCGTTTCAGACAGCTTACAAAGGAAGGCCTATGAAGGACTTTGCAGCCAGTCCTGAAGATACCTGATAAAACAGGGTCAGATGAAAGGGGAGGAGGTCCTCCCCAATCAGTGGACTTGGAAAGGGGCAGGGAGGAGATGAGTGAGGGGGGGAGGGCTTGGGAAGGAATAAGGGAGTGGGATACAGCTGGGATACAGAGTTAATAAAATGTAACTAATAATAAAAAAAAAAAAGGAAGGCCTATGAAATGTGGCAATAAGGAACAGTACACTTAGGAAAACTGGCCAAGTGTGAGTTTTAAAACAAAGGATCAGATTAATACATACAGCAGACTATTGGGGAAGACATATTCCCCCAGAGAGGTACTAAATGGCTACTGTGGGATTGGAGTCGGTGGCAGAATTGTGAGTCAGGGGCTGTGAACCTATGAGGTTGACAATTTTTCATTTCCAAAAGACCTTCTGAGACCTTAGAGAAAGGCAAGAATAACATTTCATTATTACTTCATGATATTAGTGTCTTTCATTTTTCTCTAAAACAGAGTACATCATTAAAGATTTACTCATTCATTTTTATGAGTTCTCACATTTCATCAGTCACCTCCAATAATTTAAGGAAGTTAAGAGATTATTTTTTTAACTCTCATCAGTACATCTCACTTTTATGAAAATGGTGAGTTTCACCAAACCTTTACTGGATAGGCACCCTGTGTATGTGAGCTCTAAGTTTCCAACAGCTTCAGGTATTCCTGCCACAGTCCTGGATTCAGTGAGCTGAGGATACCGAGCATGCCACGGTTGCACTATTGTCCCAGTAGCATGCTGATCACAGAAAGAATGTTTCCTTCCCTGTCTCAGCGAAGGGATGATGCCTATAGGTGTCGCTGTCAGAGCATTCAGGCGCCCTTAGCATAGCTTTAACATGCTTAGAACATAGTTCCTGCCGGGCAGCTGCCCTCCAGCATGCAAGAAGGAGGTACTTGTTCTTCTGTGTGGTGGGCACTAGAATAAAGAGGAAGGAGCTAAGCCTTGAAGAATGAAGAGAAAGGTGTTGGTGGAGTCAGGAAAGCATGGAATTGGGAGGGCCTGGGAAAATTACATCTTTAGGACTCCCAGACGACTTCAGGAAGTGACAGGAGATAAGAAACTGCTGGGATCCAACTGCCAAGGTATGCCACATACTGAGGAGTTGGTGCTTAATACTTTTGCTGGTTGTGGGGCATGGAATTGTTCACATTGAAAGAATTTCACATGAAATAGATGTTTTGTGTTTGGGGGTTTTGTTGTTGTTTTGTTTTTCCAGACAGGGTTTTTCTGTGTAGCCTTGTATCCTTCACTGCCCTGGACTCACTTTATAGACCAGGCTGGCCTCAAAGTCACAGAGATTCACCTACCTCTGCCTCAAAGAGTATTGGGATCACTGGCATGCACTACCACGCCCACCTGTCTTTGTTTTGTTTTGTTTTGTTTTTAACATAACTGGGAGTGGTGCAGCGTATATCAGAAGTGACAGAGGCATTTGGAACTGGTGAGGGATTTCAGAAAGCATTGACCAGTGCCTGTACAGCAGTGAAGATGTGAAAAAGAAGCATGGGTAATTTTTAACGTGTCCCTTGCCAGTAGTCAGCAGTATTTCAGATACGCTGTGGTGAGCTTGAATTAAGCCCTTCCTTCCTTTCAGCCTTACTATACTGTGGTGGTCTGGGGCAGTGGCCCTTAGCCCTTTTCACTCTGTACTCTGAGGCCATCTTTCAAGCAGGCTGTCAGTTCAGAAATACCTGTCCTTGTCCTGAGGACCCAGATTTGCTAGAACTGCTGTTGCCTAAAGCCAGCACTTCATACTTTTCCTTTACATGACAGTTTATTCCCAAAATAAAAACAAATAGGTTCCAGCTGTTGGAATAAAGTTGTGGCTAAACCAGTAGAAGAATAGGTTTCTGGCTTGAAATGCCTGCATTGGGGAGAATGAGTTGAGTTTTAGTCATTTTCACATCCCAATAAACATGTGCCAAAAACAGCCAGTACTGTATTGGAGGGGTGGAATTGTTTTTCTCTGATCCATAACACTGGTCATATAAACCTCAGGATCCAACAAAGTTGAAAATTATGCTTTTAGACCTTATTTTTGGCAGATACCTGAATTATTTTAAAGTAAAACTTTAAATAATAACTTTAAAATAATAACTTATCAGAACTCATGATAGTGCAGGGAAAATTAGAAGGTGAAACAACTGCGTAAATCAGCCCCCACTGTTTCCCAAGGAGCCCTGTGAGGCTCTACTTTCCAGGGGAAAACCGAGTAAGGGTCAGCCTGGCAGTTCTCACCAGGTGGCCAGGACACGTGCGCTGTCCCTGTGTTTGCCTAAAAGATTGTTAGTCAAATCAGGAGTTGTCTGTCTTTATCTTTGTTTTGTTTCTTTCTTTCTTTTTTTTTTAAGCTCCTGGCTCCAATTAGAGATGTTGAATTGTTTGTTTTGTTCCATTTCGGGGATGGTGGTAGAACCAGGATCTGCTTGAGTGTTAGACACCACTGAACTACACACTAGCCTGTTGTGTGTAGTTTTGTTTTTGTGTGTATTTTTGTGTATTTTGTTTTGTTTTACCAAAACGGGGTTTCTCTGTATAGCCCTGGCTGTCCTGGAACTCACTCTATGTATCAGTCTGGCCTCAAACTCCGAGAGCTCTGCCTGCCTTTGCCCCCTGAGTGCTGGGATTAAAGGAGCACACAACGACTGCCCACCTCGTATGTGTCATAGTTAATATTCCGCAATTAGCCATAAGTTCAGACAAAACAGGGATTCTTTTGCTAAATTAGTCTTTTTAACATATGAAACAATGGGTTTCATTATGATATTTTAGTATACAATACATGGTTGGTTCACTCCTCCACTACCTCCTTCTGGTCCTCTTCTTGCCCCAAATAGTCCTCCTTCAGTTTTCATGTTACATATGAATAGTTAGTTCAGTTTAAATCTGCATATGAGAGGAAACATGGCATTATGTCTTTCTTACCTCCCCCATTACATTCTTTTTTCCACACTTGGTTTTGCTTTAATGGGCTGGAAGAGAGCCGACTACCAGCTGTAGAAGCTGAACTCACTTCTCCCTATGAAGCTAGAGTATGTCCGTGTGAGTGTTATGGTTGTTTCCTTTCTGTTGCTGTGGTTAGCAACGCTTACAAAAAGCAGCTTACTGTGCAGGAAAGAGTTTTATTACACTTCCATGTCACAGGACATCTTTGAGGTACATAAGGAAGGGAACTTAAGCAAGAACCAGGAGAAACACTTGTCTTGCTTATGGGCCCCTGCTTAGCTAGCTTTGTTACATAGCCCAGGATCACCTAGAAAATGCCACTACCTAAAGTGGGCTGAAGCCTCCCGAAGTAATAACAAAGCACTCCGCCACAGACGTGGCCACAGGTGTCTTTGATCTAGGCAGTTTCTCAGTGGAGACTTTCCTCTCGGATGACTCTAGACTGTGTCAAGGACAGTTTAAGCTATCTGGGGTGGGGTGGGATGGGTGAGGGAGTGCTAGTCTTTTGCTTATAATGTCTCTGGCCTGTTTTAGAAGGGCAGCAGGTAAGGGAATCTCAGATATCCCAGGCTAGTCACAAACTCAGCTGAGGGTCACCTTGAACTGATCCTATCACTCAACCTACCAAGTGCTAGGATTACAGGTGTGTACCACCACACCGTATTTTATGCAGTGCTGGGGATTAAAACCAGGTCTTTATGTGTGTGAGGGGAAAGGCTGTGTTTTATCATACTTAAGTCACTTGTGGGCACTTTTCCTGGCAATTACTATAGTGAGAAATTGGGAGAGCTTACAAACTGTGGCCGTGAATGTAGCGCAGGTAGAGTGCTTACCCAGCACGCACAGAACTAGGGATTTCTTCTCCAACACTAGTGGGTGGTGAGGAGAATGAAAAATATTTCATGGAATATGTTGCTAAAGGTTGTTTGTGATTTATCATTGGTTGAAGTTAACCTTTATACTTAAAGCTTTCTTTTCAGTACAGAGTAATGGCTTAGTTGGTTACTCACCTTTTGGGTGGCTTTCTGTCATGTAGTAAGTCCTGAATTCAGATCTCCAGAACGGATAGAGAAGCCAGGTGCAGTCATGCATTCCTATAACCTGGATGAGAAGAGCCCCAGTTAGAGACAGGGAGGATCCCCACAGCTCACTGACTGTCCAATCCAGCCAGAAATTACAAGTACCAGCCAGTAAGTGGGAGAGGGGGACAGAAAACCTGTTTTAGAAATAAGGTAAAGAGAGTAATGGAGGAAAAGACCCAAAGTCAACTTCTAGAAGACACACAAGTTCATGCACACATGCATGCATACGCATGAACGTGCACACACACGCACACACACGCACACACACACAGTGCAATACAGGATGTGTCTTTTCAGGATTGAGCAGTGAACCTTTTCTGAGATAAGGTTATGATGTGCCTAAAATGCATCTAGGATAAAAGAAATTATTGGCTTTGGCAGTCACTTTTTATATGTTTGAAATCTCTGTTTTGTGGGTCAAGTAATGTCCCTCAGAACATCCCAGGAAAGGTGGAGCTGAAAGTGACACATTGACTTACAAAGTGTGAGTTACTCATTTCTCCTTGTAGCAACATCATAAAGGACCTATTTTGGATCTGGAATTTACATTTCGTCCTCGTGTTTCTAAGTGAGAAATCTGGGGTTTCGGTGTATTTAATACTTCTTTTATACTTACTGCTGAAAATAACATTTGTCATAAGATTTGTAAAATGCTAGATAGTATAGTACATTAAAGATAACAAAATAAGTTCAAATACTTTAAAAATAGAATAAAGTGCCTCTAAAACCTACTGACCAGCTCTGAATCCTACAGAGTTACATAACCATTGGGGTGGGGAGGACTGGGGGTGATCTCAGGTACAGTTACTATGCATTACTGAACCTGATTTTATAAAAAGCTTGTCTTTCTCTTTCTACTTTTCAGAGGTTCAAGCAGTTCTCCTCACTGACATTTTAGTTTTCCTTCAAGAAAAAGACCAGAAATATGTATTTGCATCATTGGTAAGCTGAGTTGTTACTCTCTTCTGTTTGAAATGTCATGTTAAGACTAGCTAGGTTAGGTATAAAGTGTGACCAACTAGCATTATTATGTCTGCTGTATGGCTGTAGCTCACCTGTCCACTGAAAACCACTAACTGACGACTTGAAGTAATTTCTTACATTCCCTTTGATATTCTTTTGTGTGTGTGTGTGTGTGTGTGTGTGTGTGTGTGTGTGTGTGTGTGT